GGAAAAAAAAGGTAATTTAGAGGGTTCCCGTAGCAGAGGTCCGTTAGCCGGCCTTCGAAAGGGGCTGATTGGAGCTAAGTGTACTGCTAAAGTGTACATAGAAGGAGAGCCATGTTCGTGCCTTCTGGATACAGGGTCGCAAGTGACGACGATCTTCCAATCTTTTCATCAGGAAAACCTGCCTGAGCTAAGTATAATCCCCTTGGAAAATCTGTTGGAAGTGGAGGCTGCCAATGGACAGGTAGTACCTTATTTGGGGTATGTAGAGATGAAGGTCAAGTTTCCTGAGGATTTTCTTGGTGTCGTGGAAGTGTCGACTCTTGCACTGGTTATTCCGGATACCAGTGGCACTGCTCAGCCCAAAGTGCTCATAGGTACCAATACATTAGACTTGGCATATGGGAAGCATCTTGAGACCAATGACTCTGTCTTCAAGTCCATTCCATTTGGCTATAAATCAGTAGTAAGAACGATTGAGTATCGACGGAATCAAAAAGTAAACAGTAATGTAGGAATTGTCAGACTCCCTACAACTGATACTGTTGTTGTACCTGCAGGGCAGAATCTTGTCTTTGAGGGAGTTGTAACAGTAAGAGGACAAGTGACAGACAAGTGGGTAGTGATGGAACCCCCCTCTTATTCTCTGGTACCTGGAGGACTTTTAGTTGCTTGCTGTCCACTTAACTTAGCTAAGTATCCATCACACAAAGTCCTTTGTAGTACTTAAAAATTAAGAACAGAACAGAACATGATATTACCATTCCTGGAAAAAGCGTAATTGCAGATGTCCATGCCGTACAGAGAGCAATGTCAAATAAGGATGATCAGAAGGGGGGTGCATTCTCAAAGGTGAAAAAGGAGCCTGCAAAGGAACTCTGCTTTAATTTCGGCGACTCTCCATTACCCAAGGAATGGAAAGAGAGGATTTCTCAGAAATTATGGGATATGTCTGAAGTTTTTGCCTCGCATGACCTTGATGTTGGGCGAACTGACAAAGTGAAGCACAGCATCAAGCTACATGATGAGACTCCATTCAAACACAGGGCTAGGCCCATACATCCTGATGACTTTGAAGCAGTTCGCCGGCATCTAGAAGAGTTGCTTGAGGCTGGGATTGTCCGATAATCTGAATCATCCTTTTCATCACCTATTGTAGTCGTCAAAAAGAAAAATGGTGATGTGAGGCTGTGTATCGACTATCGTAAATTGAACACACAGACCATAAAGGATGCTTACGCATTACCGAATCTCGAGGAAGCCATCTCAGCACTCCGTGGATCCAAGTGGTTTTCAATGCTCGATCTTAAATCTGGCTATTACCAGATTGAGGTTAAGGAAAAGGATAAGCCCAAAACTGCATTCGTTTGTCCCCTGGGGTTCTGGGAGTTCAACCGTATGCCCAGGGGATAACAAATGCTCCTAGCACATTTCAACGCCTTATGGAGAGGTGTATGGGCGATATTAACCTCACTGAAGTCCTGGTATTCTTGGATGATTTGATCATATTCTCCGAAACGCTGGAAGAACATGAAACCCGCCTTTTGCGTGTCCTAAATCGCCTGAAAGAGTATGGATTGAAGCTTTCGGTAGAGAAATGTAAATTTCTTCAGAACTCTGTTAGGTATTTGGGACATATCGTATCGCAGAATGGCGTGGAAACGGATCCTCAGAAGATAGAGACTATTAGAACCTGGCCAAGTCCCAAAACCCTCAAGGAATTACGCTCTTTCTTAGGGTTTTTCGGCTATTATCGCCGTTTCATCCAAGACTATGCCAAGATCGCGAAGCCGCTAAACAACTTAACTGTCGGATACCCTCCTCTCCGTAGGAACTGTAGGGGCAAAAATAAGAGCCCATCCTATCTAAATCCCAAAGTTCCTTTTGGAGGAAGATGGACAGAAATTTGTGAACAGGCTTTTGACACACTCATAGAAAAACTTACCACAGCGCCCGTATTAGGGTTTGCTGATCCCAAACTGCCATACGAGTTGCACATTGATGCCAGTACCACTAGGCTAGGTGCTGCACTTTACCAGCAGCAGGGAGGCGAACTGCGTCCGATAGCTTTTGCCAGCCGTGGACTTTCAAGGAGTAAGGCTCGTTACCCTGCCCATAAGCTCGAGTTCTTAGCTCTGAAATGGGTAGTCACTGAAAAGTTTGCTGATTACCTATATGGAAACAATTTCAAAGTAGTTACAGATAGCAATCCGTTGACTTACATATTGACATCTGCGAAACTAGACGCAACAAGTTACAGATGGCTTTCCGCTCTGTCTACATTGTCCTTCACAATTCAGTATAGGCCGGGAAAACGCAATTTTGATGTGGATGGGCTGTCTAGGCGCCCACATGGAATGCTTACCAATGATAGAGTATCACAGAAAGAGCAGGAGCGTATAAATCAATTTACCTTGCACCACTCACATGAGGAAAGTGATTCCATATTGGTCCCCACTGATGTAGTCCAAGCTCTCAGTGACAGACATCTGGTACGCTCAGCCGAGGATGGTAATTATTTTCCGCTTATTGAGTCCCTTTCTGGGAGTTCAGATGCAATCCCCGAGACCTATGAGTGCCTTGAAGGACTTCCAGTTGTTCCCCAACTGACAGTGCAAGAGCTGAAAGACAAACAAAGAGCTGACAAAGCCATACAGGAAGTAATCTTACAACTGGAATCAGGAAAACCGTCCTTACCTGTGCTGAGGAAAGAGCTGCCAGAACTCCCATTCCTTCTGCGAGAGTGGAAAAAGTTAGAGCTGAGGGATGGTATTCTTTATAGGAAGAGAGTGGTCGGTGAGCATACAACTTACCAGCTCGTTCTCCCCGAAGATCTGAGGCCTATTGTCATGGAGCAACTGCATGACAACATGGGTCATTTGGGTGTGGAGAGGACCCTTGATCTTGCTCAAGCTCAGTTTTATTGGCCAAGGATGGCCACAGATGTGGAGGTGAAGATCAAGATATGTAATCGGTGTGTGTGCAGAAAGACTCCACCTGAAAGAGCAGCGCCATTAGTGAATATTCAGGTTTCTAGGCCGCTTGAGTTAGTATGTATGGATTTCCTATCTTTGGAACCAGATCGTACTAATACAAAGGACATCTTGGTGATAACTGATTATTTCACAAAATAAGCTGTAGCGATCCCCATATCAAATCAGAAGGCTAAGACAGTTGCAAAATGCCTTTGGGAAAATTTCATCGTACACTATGGTGTATCTGAAAAACTTCATAGTGATCAAGGGCCTGATTTTGAGAGTAAGACCATCAAGGAGTTATGCGAGATTGCTGGTATTCGGAAAGTTCGAACTATCATCCCAGGGGAAACCCGGTTGAGCGGTTCAACTGAACACAGTTGAGTATCCTGGGTACTCTGAAAAATGAAGACAAAACCCATTGGAGAGACTTTGTGAAGCCTATTGTGCATGCATATAACTGCACTAAACACGAAACCACAGGATTCACTCCATATGAGTTTATGTTTGGCCGGCAGCCTAGATTGCCCATAGATCTTGCTTTTAGAGTACCTGCAAACGACAGCCATATTGAGTTCCATTCCCAGTATGTGAAGACTTTGAAAACTCATTTGCAAGAGAGTTATGAACTTGCCAGGAAGAATGCAGCAAAGGTTGCAGCAAGGAACAAGACACGATATGACAAGAGAGTGGCAGAGTCTTCACTTGATGTGGGTGATCGAGTTCTTGTCAGAAATGTGCGTCTCCGAGGGAAGCACAAATTGGCTGATAAATGGGACTCTTAAGTCTACATTGTGGTAAACCGTGCTGGAGAACTTCCTATTTATACTGAAAAACCAGAAGGGAAAGAAGGACCTTTGTGGACACTCCATAGGTACTTATTATTGCCTTGTGGTTTCTTGTCACCCCATGTGGAGGAAGAGAAAGTGGCACCCAAGCCGCAAAGAGGACGAGCAGTGCCAGGAAAAGTACATCAGGAAGAGCCCGAGAGTTCAAAGCAATTTCTGGATTTTGATGGAGAGGACAGTGATTATTTTGTGCAAGAATTCGAGCCCAGTTCCGAAACCAGTCCAGTGAGATTTGTTAAGGAGTATGAAGTCATTAGAGCACCAAGAGATGTTCCTCTCGGAGATGTCGAACCTGCACTACAGATGCTACCTGATTCAAACCCTGCCAGAGGCAATGTCGTTGATAGTACGCATGATAAATACTTACCTGAACCTTGACACTCACCTGAAACTCAGTCTTCCTCTGGACTATCCTCTGTGCACAGTGAATTGATACCTAAAAGGAGAAAGTTGGAAGAGAGAAGTTGTATGTCTGAAACCAGGCAACAAAGTATGAGTTCGCCTGCTAATTCCATAATGGAAAATGAAACTAACAATGGCAGAGAACAAAATGGAAAAACCAGACCTTATGTTTCAGTGGAAGGAGACCGAGAGGATCCAGTTGAATCTGAAGCTCCTGAGAAAGATACAGAGTCAGATGAAAGTGAAGCTGGAAGTGGATTAAGGAAGTCCAAAAGATTGACTTACCCTGAATTGGGCAATCCCATGATATCTATAATTCAATCTCTTTTACAAGGATTGAACACAGCTTTCATTGAAACCCTAGCAGAGCAACCCAGATCAGTTAAACACCCTAAGATGTAAGCCCTAACATTGAGTATCTGTTATAAATACAATGCAAAGGGACTTGCATAGATTTAAAGAGGGGAGGGTGTAACCCATGTTAAATGTGGTGCCTACAAAATAAATATAATTGTATATTGCAATTATACTTCCAATTAACAGACTGAAGCGATCTATTAATATACATAGTGATTTAATTATGTATACATAAAAAATAATCAGTATTATAATTGAGCGTAGAAAATGTGACGTAGTGCACATATGCAAGTGCATATGTCGTAAGCCGATGACTCATGGAAGTGCGAGAGATGTGACGAGCACGAGAACACGAGAGCGATGCAAAAGGATTAAAAAGATTTATATGGTTTAAAATTCATTTAAATAGCGTTAAAAACAAACTTATAATACTTGATGGTTGATGATGATGAATCATTTTAGAGTGATGATTGCCGATTTGAGCGCCGATGTTAGCTGATTGTGAATCTCCCCTGAATCTGAAGCAGGTGTTTAGCGAACTGTTAAAAACGGGATTTGGTGAGTTATATGTATTTTATTTTATTTGAAAGATGTATTTTATGTTGCTATGCCTATCGTTGTGTACACTTCAAAGATCGTTTGCATATTTTCTCAATGTTAATATGAATTGTTTGAAATCTCGTGCTACTGCAACAAAATTACCCCACTGTAAAATTAAAAAAACACTGAGTGAGCAAAAATTTGTGAGATAGTTTAAGTTATAATGGTAATTAAACAATGTTTACATATGAATAAAAGCCTACATTAAAATCTGTCATATAAATTGGTCTCCTCATTAGAAATTAGCCTACCGATTGCCTCCATGGACAAAAAAATTAATAATATTAAAAATATCTGACACACACACAATATTGACACAATATCTGATACTTTTCAAAGTATCATATCGAAGTTAGAAATTCAAATATTGTGACAATTTATTTTGTAGGGTGC